GTGTGTGTGTGTGTGTGTGTGTGTGTGTGTGTGTGTGTGTGTGTGTGTGTGTGTGTGTGTGTGTGTGTGTGTGTGTGTGTGTGTGTGTGTGTGTGTGTGTGTGTGCACAGTGTGTGTGTAGCACGGCAGCGCTGTTACACGCACGATCAGCCGTCTACAGCGGACCAGCCGCGAGTACGCCCCTAGCACCATATTACACGCATATATACGTGTCGCGCATATAGGGACGCGATTCTGCCATGTTGCGCACTCTAGAGCGCGCGCGTCTGTGGCGAGCGAATTTAGATGCATTTCTTTCAGCATGCCGCGGTGCGGGGTCTAGACTGTCTTTCCGGCTGAAGCAAGCGGCGTGCGCGCGCAGCCGCCTTTTAAAGCTGCTGCACCGCTAGTAGGCGATATTTTTAGAAATCTCCAATGAATCTAATCGGCTGGTATTCGGCACGCGAATAGGAAACGGTGAGCGAGTGACATTGAATAAACAAGACACTATCGCACGCTCGGACTGAGCACAGCCACCACAATTCGGGCGTCCCGCGCACAAGCGCGAGCGCCCTGCTGTACTTTATATGATAGGTAGGAGCGCGGGCGCGCTAACAACCACCCCATACGAAGTGCGATTTCAACGCGAGTGTGTTAGAGGGAAGTGAGTCATGCGTGTGCAGCGGCCGCTAGAAGCGACTATATAGGCAGTGCGCCCGCACGGAGAGCGCACCGTCCGCCGGCACAGCGCGCTCCGACGGTTGTTGCTATTACACGGGCGTGGAGGGACAATTCAGTTCGCGACTTCAAAGTCCAAATCTTCCACAGAAAGGTTCCACAGTCATACTTCCGTGCTAGACATGGCCTTATATCCCTAACCCTTACCCTGATCCTAACCCTAATCCTAACACAGCTAGTGCTGCCACGTTGCGGTACTGCCCCTCCACGCCCGGGGATTAGCATTTCCCGCGCTCCGACGATGCGCGCACACACACTAGGTCGAGTATTCGTTCGCTGGCGTCACAGCGGTGTGAGTGTACTGAAACTGCCGGCGTCGTGTTCTGCGTGTATGTGCGCGCGTGTGTATAGCAGCAGAACTGAAATTGAGAGCTGGTGGCGCTTTGCTGCAGTATTTATTATAGACCGCAAGCAGGGTGTCGTGAAGCAAGCACACGTACGCGAACGCGCACTGCGGCGGCTGCTGCTGCTGCTGGTTGCTGCCTGACGGAACCTACATACATGATACGAGAGACTTGCGCGCGAATCGTTGCGCTGGCTCCTTTCTTCTCGGTCACGATCTGTCTGCGATCGATCCCAGCGTGCAGCGCGCGCGACGTCAGTGCGCATGCGTATCGCAGTGTTTAGCCGTGGCCCCATTCAGTAGCAGCTCAGCAGCACGAGTGCGGCTTTGAAGTTACTTGCCAAACGGCTAACGTTCGCGACACCGCATACAGCCAGCGCCTATATCCAAGCACTACGCTCGTTCGCGGGGGTAACCGCTACGGCACGGCCATGGCAGACGCGAAGTACAGGGATTTGATTCTGGACACCATTGATCAGCTGCGCAAGAGGAAGGCGCGGCCTGATCTGGAGCGCATCTCTCACATGCTCGATCGTAGACATGGCGTTAGCGCATCCGAGGTGGAGACCGATCTCGAGAAACTTGTCGACGGAGAAATCGTCATCAAGGTCGACTACAAGGGCAGCACGAGCTACCGCAACGCCGCCAAGTGGCGCCGAAGTCATCTCGGCGGTCACGTGCTTAACTCGAGCGACACGAGTCTCTTCATCGGCAACATCATCGCCACCCTCTGCGGCGACAGTGGCGACAGGGAGCAAGGTGTGAGCATACACGACGTGGAGAAGTACGTCGGGACGGAGAAACCTGACAGCGACCTCTGTACTAAGGGTCGGCTGCTCGTCGCTCTGCAGCGGGAGGTGGACGTCGGAGCTCTGAAGCGACTCCCGAATGGCAACTACGCGCGTGGCAACCCTGCCGACGTGAAGAAGGCGAGTAAGTTGCACGGCAAGGGCTTGGGTCACGGCAAGGCTGGCGGACCGGGACAGGGAAAGTCGAGCGGCGGACCGGGCAAGGCCGGCAGCACGCCCGGACGGAAAGCAGGTCAAACGGCAAAGCGTAAGGTACGTGTCGGTGCGGTACGCGCGCGCGCGCGCGCAACGAGCGTTAGTTAGTATCAGCGCGAACGTTGCCTGCTCCCGTCTGCGACGCAACGTTAAAACATGTCGTGCCGCGTTACGAAATTAGCAAAAATCAAATCCCCACTAGCTCGGTTTACACCAGTCTCATTTAACAGAACCGCATGTGTATATATATATATATATATATATATATATATATATATATATACATATATCACGCATTATGATATTACTAGTATTATTTCGTCTAGCATAACTTCGTTAAACACACACGCATACGCGCGCAAGCTGCCATTTTGATAAACATATGCTTGGTTCGAACATTCCAGGTTTTTTCCCCAATGGCGTGCACGCGCATTGTTGCATTGTTCTTCCCTGAGCTCCTTATATTACACTCCTAATTGTCCTGTATATTGGGGTTTGTATACTGTACATGCGCATGCGAATTGGCTGGCTGCGCTAGTGCCTAGCTAGCGGAAATGGCGCGTCGGGACATATAGCAAGAGTGTTGTGTGGAGATGTGTACGCGCGCATGTATACATGCTCTATTTCGCACACGCGCGCTTTGTTCACTAGGATCGGGAGATGGAAAAATGTATACGCAAACAGATACGGGGGTGCGTGCGTACGTGTGCGGGCGTATGCGTGCGACTGGCTGTCGTGTGTGCGCGCACTCTCCCCCTCTCTCTGTGTCTGTCTGTCTGTCTCTCTCTCGCTCTCTCTCTCTCTCTCTCTCTCTCTCTCTCTCTCTCTCTCTCTCTTGCTCTCTTTACTCGCTTGCGCGTGCTTTCTGCCTTATGACTCTTTCCTTTCTTGGTCCCCGCAAACAAAGATCGTGCGTTACACGCACGTGACACCACGCACTCACGTTCACATACTCTCTGTCCTTCGTCTCACAAGCTCACTCTTTCTCACTCTTTTTTTCTAATCTCTAGCGATTTCACGTTTCTCACCTTTCTATCTTTTTTGTTTTATTCTCTCATTCTCTTCGAGTCGTTTAGAACGAACGCGCATATTGCGCGCAATATATGTATTGTCACCTGTGACACATTTATTACGATATGCTTTACGAGTGAAATATCGCAGTTTTCGACAATTATTCGACCAAAAGTATACATAACTCATCCTGCTAAATAGGAGCACGCACGCCTATGTTCGTGCGTGCGTGCGTGCGTGCGTGCGTGCGAGCGCGTTTGTGCTGGCGGGAGTGTTCGCATGTGCGTACGTGCGTGTGTACGAGCGCATTTCTGCAGGCATGAGTGTCAACGTACCTGCATACGTGCGTGCGTGCGTGCATACATGCCAGAATGGGTCCGTGCATATGGAAGCTGGACAGCTGTAGCTCTACAATCTGCCAGCTCGGCTGTTACCTAATGAATAATGGATAGACGCGACAAAGCCCGGAAACATCCATTTCTTCTTGTCACATTTTACGCGTTTTACTCGGTTATATCCTATTACGCATGTGTCCTGTTTCACGGAAGGTAAAATGTAAGAAGTCATTATTTCATATATATTATATAGATATATATATATAGGGGTGTGTTATTACGCAGTTAAATAAATAATGTACTATGTTTAAAGAAATAACGAGTCGACACGCTTATCAGAAGAGTAAACCAACAACAACAGTCCTGTTTGAGGCGCAAACTCGCTTTTTTCCATGCTATCAGCAGACGGAACGATGAAACGTGCTGCCAGGCTCCTCTTAGGTAACTTACTGTTTGTCTCACATCCGCTATGTAGTGATGTCTCATTGACATGACCTACTCTCACGTCACATCCGGTAATGAGGCGGTCACGTGATACACTACATGTCCGGCATGCGCGTATGTAAACGGCTGTTAGCTCTATTAGTGTTCGCGTATATTAGCTCTGTTAGTGTGCGCGTATGTTAGCTCTGTTAGTGTGCGCGTATGTTAGCTCTGTTAGTGTGCGCGTATGTTAGCTCTGTTAGTGTGCGCGTATATTAGTTCTGTTAGTGTGCGCGTATGTTAGCTCTGTTAGTGTGCGCATTTGCGCGTATGTTAGCTCTGTTAGTGTGCGCGTTTGCGCGTATGTTAGCTCTGTTAGTGTGCGCGTATGTTAGCTCTGTTAGTGTGCGCGTGTGCGCGCATGTTAGCTCTGCTAGTGTGCGCGTATGTTAGCTTTGTTAGTGTGCGCGTGTGCGCGTATGTTAGCTCTGTTAGTGTGCGCGTATGTTAGCTCTGTTAGTGTGCGCGTATGTTAGCTCTATCGGTGTGCGCGTATATTAGCTCTGTTAGCGTGCGCGTATG